GCATATGAGTGCCAAATCAACCTTCTAACTGGTCGGACGCATCAGGTATTTAAATTCCATTTTCCTGCTCCCCTCATGTATTAGTTCCTTCTGTTCAAAGGATTTTTCAAGTTTGATGTTTCAAAGTTGAGTGATTGCAAGTGCAAGTTTTTTCACCTGCTTATGATCAGGTTTTATTCCTGCAAGTATTAGACAGTGAAAAGGCCTAATATCTCAAATCAGGTTACCTGGTAAGAAAAGTATATTATACTCGTTGTTTTACAGGTCTAAAGAGGAGTCTGCATTAATTTTTTTTTTTGAGTGTGTGTGTGTGTGTGAGAGAGAGAGAGAGAGAGAACATGGTTAAACTATTTAATCATGCATAAACTGGTTTATGAATGATAGTTATTGTTAAAAGTTCATCTCTGGTTTTTGTGATCTCGAAACAATGAAGATTTGAAAGGGAACCAAAGCAGTGATTTTCTCAAAATGGTGTTTCTTTGATAATCTATGCCTTGGGAATCACTGATTCTGATGATATATGGTCATAATTTGCAGATTCGAGCACAGTTAGCTGCCTGTAGTGCACCAGTGGTGGGTGACGCGATGTATATGCCAGCTGCAATTGCTGAAATGGTCAGTCCTGGGAGTAACCCACTTGGGAAGAACAAAAAAAAATATACAAACGAAAATGATAAATCACTTGCAATAGATGAGTGGATCGCACAACATGGTAAAGAACCTAGTGTTGCTATAGGTCTTCAGGCATGCCAGATTTCATGGGACGACGGCGAGCACTGTTATGAGGCCAGATCACCCTGGTGGAGGTAGATAAAAGCTTGTGCTAATGTTTAATCCTTGCTTCATCAGAATAACGTGGCAGGATGGACAAACTTCTTCCGCATAAGGTAAGAGCTTCTTTATTTATCAATCACTATAAAGCATAAGTTTCATTTGAGAACCATGGTAAACTAGAGAGTAGCTTCTACGCTTAAGGGGTTTTGGGAACTTTTCCGGTCCATGAATTTGCTTTAGATTTTGGTAAGATTCAACCTCTGCCATCTAACCTGTTGAAATTCCCCTTCCTCTCAACAACAAACCTAGTGTAATCCCACAAGTGGGGTCTAGGGAGGGTAGTGTGTACACATACCTTACCCCTACCTTGTGCAGGTAGACAAGTTGTTTTCGATGGACCCTCAGCTCAGGCGAAGTTCCCCTTCCTCTCTGATGGTTAAATCTCTTGTGCTTCACTCTCTCTTGTGAGAAAGCTAGAAGAGAAGGAAGAGGGGTGTTTGAGGGGAGAGGCAAGATCTTAGATTATAGACTCATGCAATAGGAACATATTAGTAGGATTTTCCTCTTTAGCTTGCTGACTTCTCAGGTGTGAAAATTCAATGCATTTGCATGACACATGCATGGCTAGGCTGTAATCTTGCGATGTTAAAGTTATTGGATTTGTTTTCATATGTAAATAAAAGAATTGAGTTACCACTTTTCTGTAGAAGTATTGTTCATCTTTCATTTGGTGTTTTTCCTTAAATGACTACAGTGTGCTATCTTAATTCTTAACATCCACACAGACTTTCTGTTTGTGTTTATAGCTGATATTCACTTCTTTATATATCACAGCAATTGCCAGTGCTAGGATCATACTATGAGCTGCAAGGAAAAGGCTCACTTACTGAATTACAGTGTGTAGTTGTGCAATAGTCTTGAGCTATGATTTGGTGGGTGAAATATCAGGACGTTGAAGAGGAATTCACCAGCATATATTTGGGTCATTAATTGAAGGTGTGTTGCATGTTGCCCTACTCTCAGAGTTTCTGAAGCAATGATTTGCACATATGCTAGTCTTCCCTTGACAAATCCCTCAGTGCAACGGCGAATCTTACTATAGTAGTAAAGCATGTCATAAATATAGCAGGCCCATACCCTTTTTATCCTTCACTGGTAATACTACTCACTGAATCTTGGGGCTTAGCCAGTTTTTATTTTGAGGAATGCAAATACGATCTGCTGTCATGCTTGATCCAATCAATGTTCAGACTTCAGTACGAAGTAGTAATTGAAGTTTATGAAACAGTGTCAGTGAGTTTGTTATAACAGGATATGCTTGTTGAATATATAACTTTAACATCCTATCTGCTGAAGTTTTTAATCATGAGCTCATTTATAAGAGTTTTAACTTTGAAAACAAGTAGGAGTTTACACCCATTTGGTAGAATATTGGAACATTAAGTTGAATCCTAACAGAAGAAAGGGAAAAAAATGGAGAGAACTCAGCTTTCAACAGAATATTTCTGCAAAATCAATAAATCTCCTTTACGTGATTACAGTTCCATTAGAGTGAATACAAGGGTTAAGCTTGAGCTTGACTTTTGCAATATGAAGGCAGGGATCAGGCTGAACAGTTATAGTTTGATTTCCAGCTGCCCTCCAACGACAGAGACCTAAAATGAAAATCTTCTTTACAAGCCTCCATATGTGCATTGTCTTCTTCCGCTATTTCTGGGCAGTATGTGTTTCAAGCTGTGTGTGAAAGTTATACATGAGCTCTTTATACCTGGTGGCTGATAATTTTGGAGTTCTCTCGAGATTTGTAAAGTTGACATAGTGAAGTCCAAATCTTACGCTATATCCTTCTAGCCACTCAAAGTTGTCGAGAAGGGACCAAACAAAGTACCCCCTTACGTCTGCACCTTCCCTGATTGCATTTGCCAATGAATTTAAGTAGCTATTTATGTAGTTCACTCTATGAACATCGTTCAAGGTATCCGTTATTGAAGGATTCCGAATTTCGTTCTCAATAAATCTGCAACATTGCCAATTATGTCATTAGTTGCATCTCAACAGATCAAATTGCATCTCCTTCAAGTTATTGGTTGATAAACTGCATCTCGCTTCTAAGTGACAAGAATGTGAGTTTTTTTTTAATTTTTTATCTTACCATTTTCGGTGATAACCGTTGGAGTATTATTGAATCTGTCCTTCATGTACATCACAATCTTTTTCATCCCCTGTGGGTACAGAAAGAGCCAGTCGACTTCAGTCTCATTCATTTAAAAGTTTGGAAAAAAAGAAAGAATTTTAGCAATGTTGTAACACCCCAAACTTTAGACAATCCCACATCAGCAAAACACAAGAGGATGCTGGGTATATAAGTTAACAAGCCTTAGATCCTAGTGACGCATTTTAAAGCCGTGCGGACCTAGGCCCAAACGGACAATATCACTAGCGGGCTGGGCTGTTACAGATGGTATCATAGCCACTCTTGTGTCAGCCATACCGATGGTGGGTCAGAGTTCAACTGAATTTAGGCAAATCCTGGTTAGGCGGGGCAAACCTCAGTGTTGAGTCTAGGCGAATCCCATGCGGTGAAGCAAACCTCAGCGAGTATGCTGAGTCCATAAGAGGGGGTGTATGTAACACTCCAGACTTTAGACAGAGTCCCACATCGGCAAAACACAAGAGGATGTTGGGTATATAAGTTAACAAGTCTTAGACCTTAGTGACGCGTTTTAAAGCCGTGCGGGCCTAGGCCCAAAGCGGACACGGGCTGGGCTATCACAAATGTACAAAGTGTTAGTAATAGTATGCAGAGTGAATTAAAAGATGAGGAATACTAAAGTATTAAAGACGAAAACATACAGGTTACCCAATGTAGACACCGTTTTTTTCTGTAGGAACAAAATAGGAACCCTCTGACCAAGTTTTTCCATGTTCACAAGCAGAATATAAGCAATCTTTGATATATCTAGCCATATAATAATTGATGCCAATGAAATCTAGACCGTAACTCAACTTGCTCAAATCATTCGCTGAAAAGTCTGGCAGATTAGATCCCAGAATTTCTACCATTTCTTTAGGATATCTTCCTAAAATAATAGGGTCTAAAAACTTGCAAAGGGGTATTCAGTCAAAGAGCATTATTTTCTGCTCTGATGCCCACGAAACCAGACTGTAGAACTGTCCTACTGATAAAGAAGGCTTACCAATTGACGTAGAATGATCGAGCTCTCTGAGTTGCGGCTATATCTTCTGAGGAATTGCTGTAAGGTTCATACCATTGGATATCCAAAGAAATTCCAATCATGCCGCCTTGTCTTTCTGAAAACCAGCATAAACCAGATTATGCTACTGGTATTTCTTTTGTCTTCTAATAAACTTACATTTTCAGGGTCTTAGAAGTAAGAGATCTACACGGGTCTTAAGACCCCCAATAATAACCACATACGAGCGATAGACTCGATCTACAATAATAGAATCACCCACCCGTATAGACACATATATAGGAGTACTCAAAGAATCATGAGGCACAACCAGATAAGGGGCAAAATAAGATGACACATAGGAATATGTAGACCCCGGATCAAATAGAACTGAAGCATCCATGCTGCAAACTGAAACCGTACATGTGATAACTACATCGGAGGCCTCAGCCTCAGGTCTAGCTGGAAAGCATAACATCGGGGCTGGGCCCCACCACTCTGATCAAATAGAACTGAAGCATCCCTGCTGCAAACTGAAACCGTACATGTGATAACTACATCGGAGGCCTCAGCCTCAGGTCTAGCTGAAAAGCATAACATCGGGGCTGGGCCCCACCACTCTGAACTACATCCCGAGGACGACCTCTACCTTTAGCTTCCTGACCTCCACCTCTAACGCCCTGACCTCAACCTCTAACGGTCTGACCTCACTAACACCTCACCCCTACCTCTAGCTGGCTGAGCGGGCGGTGGAACACCCAGTGCTGGAACCATAGTACGAGAACCCTGGTGCTGAGAACTACTCGAAGCTCGAGGGTAAAATCTAGCAATATGCCTCGTATCGCCACAAGTATAACAAGACATCGGCTGCTGGGACTGCTGACCCTGAAACTGACCTTGATGGCCTGAGTAACCACCCTGAAAACTCTGGAGCGGCGGTGCACTGATAGGAGTTGGTGGTGCACTGTAGGGCAACTGATCAGAATACTGCATATGAGAACCACGACCACCTGGAGCACCGTGAGAAGCCTGAAGTGCTGAATGAAATGGCCTGGGAGGATGGCCCCTACCAAAAAAATACCTGCCTCCAGATGAGGCACCACTAAACCTGCCAGAATGACGGGGCCTCTTGTTAGACCCCTGACCACTCCCCTGCAATAGAACCATCTCAACTCGTCTGGCCACATTGGCTGCATCCTGGAAAAAAATCTCACTCCCTGTCTCCTTAGCCATATGCAATCGAATCGGCTGAGTGAGTCCCTCAATGAACCTCCTCACCCTCTCTCTCTCTCTCTCTCTCTCTCTCTCTCTCTCTCTCTCTCTCTCTCTCTCTCGATGAGAAGTATGATAAGAGAATGACGGGCCAAGGCAATGAATCTGGTCTCGTAGTGAGTGATGGTCATAGAACCCTGCTGGAGGCACTCAAAATACCTCCGATAGTCCTCCCTCTGAGTGATAGGAAGAAACTTCTCCAGAAATAGCTGAGAAAACTAGTCCCAAGTCAAAGCAGGCGACCCAACTAGTTTAGCCAAACAATAATCCCTCCACCAAGTCTTGGCGGAACCTGACAGACGAAACGCAGCAAAGTCGGCCCCATTGGTCTCCACTATACCCATGTTCCGTAGAACCTCATGACAACTGTCCAAATAGTCCTGGGGATCCTCTGAAGATGTACCGCTATAGGTAATAGTGAAGAGCTTAGTGAACCTGTCCAACCTCCACAAAGCATCAGCAGACATAACTGCTCCATCAGCGGTCTGAGCCACAACACCCGGCTAAACTACCCCAACTGGCTGAGCTGCTGGAGTCTGAAACTGAGGAGCCATCTGCTCCGGAGTGCGAGTAGCGCGGGTCTGTGCTCCTCCCCCATCCTAAGAGACGGCTGGTGCTACAGGAAGTAAGCATGCCTGGTCGATACTCTACATAACACCCACTAGATGGACCAGAGCATCCTGGAGTACCAGAGTAGCGATGAACCCCTCTGGGACCTGAGCTGGCCCTACTGGAACGGTCTGGCCTGGAGCCTCCTTCTCAAACTCTACCTGAGGCTCCGCCACTGGTGCTTCTGCTCTAGGTTGAGCCCTGCCTCGGCCTCTACCCTTTGTAGGAGCTACCATTGAGGGCTTGGGCTGTTGATCAGCGGATGAAGAGGCAGGTGTTCTATCCATCTGCGAAAGAACATAGTAGAAGTTCAATTAGCATTGAGAAATCAAATCGCACGGCAGAGAAGAATAGATGTGAAGCCACACCTAAACTCTGTAGCCTCTGTGGGATAAGCACAAACGTCTCTATACCGACCCCTCAGACTCTACTAAGCTTGTCCATGAATTATGAGACCTAAGCAACCTAGAGCTCTGATACCAACTTGTCACGACCCGGATTTCCCACCGACGGGATCATGATGGCGCCTAACATTAAACCCGCTAGGCAAGCCAACGTTACTGATTATTTTACCTTTTTACTTTATCTTTTTACAATTTACAAATTAACATAACATAAACAGCGGAATAAAGTGCGGAGGAAAAAAATCTAATAATTTAACTTAATATAAATATGAATCCATAGTGAAACTCTACCCAAAACTGGTGTCACAATATCACGGATTGTCTACAAATACTACAAACAGTGGTCTGAACAAGGAAAATGTACATCTGTCTCTGAAATAAGTAAAAACATAATGGAAATATGATAGAAGGGGACGCCAAGGCCTGCAGATGCCTGCAGGACTACCTCGAGTCTCCACTGGACTGAAGGCAACAACCTCGAACTCCGGTTCGTAGGGTCCAATACCGGGATTTGCACAAAAGAGTGCAGAGTATAGTATCAGTACAACCGACCTCATGTACTGAGTAAGTGTTGAGTCTAACCTCGGCGAAGTAGTGATGAGGCTAGGATGCGACAACCACATAAACCTGTGCAATTAAATCATATACGAGAAGCAATAATAACAAGAAGGAAAGATAATAAGACGGGAAAAGGGGGAGCATGCTGAGGGTGATATCAGGTTATGACAATGATAGAGTAAATCGACAAATTAAATATCAAACTTGAAGCAATGGAAATAATAAAACAGAAACAAGTGCACGACATCACCCTTCGTACTTTTACTCTCGTCCTCACCATAGAAATCAACAGAAACGACACGGCATCACCCTTCGTGCTTTTACTCTCTGATAATCA